GGCTTGGGCATTTGAGCTCCCTTCCAGGGGCGCTCTTGTTCTGGCCTGGCCAGCAGAGTGTGCTCCACCAGCTGGTGGAGCTCTCGAACAGTTCCCAGTTTTAGTGGGTCCTGTGGTCCGGGTGTTGGGGTAGGGAGTCTAGGTCAGGGTCTGGGGATTCCCTCCAGCTCTGGTCTCCCTTGAGGGATTCACTGTCCCCTGTTGGGTACTCACCCTGTAGGTCGTCAGTTGTTGTTGCAATCCGAGTTCAGTTGGGGTGGTTGCGGGCTGGGTTGGGCGGCCCCCGCCGGGTCGTTGCAATCGCGATTGGGCGGGTGGTCTGCGGACAGGTCCCTTTGTCGCGCTGCTGGTGCCGGGCGGCTTTGGCGGGATGGAGCCTCTCCGCTCTGGTGGAGAGTGAGGGGTGGGGGTGGGATCCTCGTGGAGACTCCCGGCTGGTAGGTTTCTCTGTTCCTGGCGATCCGCTGTTCTGCAATCCAGTACCTGGTGATCTGCAAGCAGCCCCCTGGCCGGCGGCTTGGCGCACTGCTGCGCGGCCAGTAAAGGTTGGGGAGGGGTCTTCGCTCTTCTCTGTTCTGAATTTCTTCTTTTCCTCTCTTTCTTTTTTGTTATTTTCCACCTCTGGTTTTTCTCTGAGTGTTCGTCTTTTTGTTGTTGTCGGTCTCTTGGGGAGATTAAGCGTTGGAACTCGAACTCTCTTTTTGGTTGGAGAGAGCTGTGGCGTTTCCCTACTGCCCCGTCGCCATCTTGGTCCCCCCTCCCTCATGAATTTTTTAATAGCAATTTTATTGTGATTAAGTGATTCCATAAATTTCACAAATTTCACAGTATTATGAGATAGTGCTACTTAATTAAAGTCACAAACATATCCTAACCTTCATGGGGCAAGTGGTCTTTATCATGGTCTATAAACTTTATGAGTTCTATGAGCTTTGATAATACAGTTATTTCTTTTACATCTGGTGATATGTACATTTCTTTTCTTTTGCTTAGTGTCAGCTGTTCCCTCTTTTCTACTCATTCCCTCCCTCCCATCACTGCCATTGAATTGCTTAGTTTGCTTTTATCAATGACCAGTGCAGCTGATGGGTCTCGCTGTTGTATGTTTTCCCGTTTCCCTCTGTTTCTGTGTCCTCCTCCTAGTTTCCCTCTGATGTGCACATATATACCGCATATGTGGTCAGCAGCATGGGGTCATTTAGTAATGATTTGACCAGATGAGTGGAGGTCCTTTGTTTCTCTAGTCTTGTTTACTTTGTCGTATCTCCTTATGTTTTGGATTTAACAACCACTTATCAGGGAGACCATGTGCCATTTGTCTCTTTGCTCTTGGCTTATCTCACTCAACATGATTTCTTCTAGTTCCATTTCCCTGCAAATGCCATTATTTTGTCCTTTCTAATGGCTGCATAATAGTCCATTGTATATAGGTACCACCATTTTTGGATCCATTTATCTGTAGTGGGGCATCTGGGTTGTTTCCATATCTTGGCTATGTAAACAGTACTGCAATGAACATGGAGGTGCATGTGTCCTTGTATACTGGTTCCTGTTTTTCAGGATAGATGCCTAGGAGTAGTGGTATGGCTGGGTCATAGGGGAGGTCAATATTTAGCTTTCCGAGGACCCCCCAGACTGCTTTCCAAAGTGGTTGTATTATTGTACATTCCCACCAGCAGTGTAATACGGTTCCTCTTTCTCTGCATCCCTTCCAGCAGTTGTCGTTGGCTGACTTGTGGATGTGGGCCATTCTGACTGGTATCTCAGGGTTGTCTTTATTTGCATTTCTTTTACAACCAGGGATGGTGAACATTTCCTCAAGTGTTTCTTTGCCATTTTTATCTCTTCTGAAGTCTCTGTTTAGTTCCCTTGTCCATTTAGTAATTGGTTTGTTAGGTTTGGAAGGGATTAGTTTCTTGAGTTCCCTGTATATACTGGATATTAGCTCCTTGTCTAATATATTGCTGGTAAATATTTTTCCCAGTTAGTTGGCTATCTTTCTAGTTTGGTTACTGTGTCTTTAGCTGTGCAGAAACTTTTTGTTTTTGTTTTTTGGGTCCGGTCGTGGGCCTGAACTCTGGGCCTGGGCGCCGACGCTCAGCTCTTCAGCTCAAGGCTAGCACTCTACCACTTGAGCCACAGCGACACTTCCAGCTTTTTTCTTTTTGCTTATGTGGTGCTGAGGAATCGAACCCAGGGCCTCATGCATGCAAGGCAAGCGCTCTACCACTGAGCCACCTTCCCAGCCTCGTGCAGAAACTTTTTATTTTAAGGTAGTCCCATTTGTTGTCTATCTCTGCAATTTGTTGTGATCCTGGAACTCTGTTTAGGAAGTTCCTGCCTGTGCCTATAAGTTCAAATGTCTCTCCTACTCTGTCCTCCAGTAGTTTCAGAGTTTCAAGTTTGATGTTAAAGTCTTTAATTCATTTTGAGTTGATGTTAGTGCATGGTGACAGACAGGTGCACTTTTAGTTTTCTGCATGTGGCCGCACAGTTTTCCCAGCACCAGTAGTTGAAGAAGCTATGCTTCTTCCACTGTAAGTCTTTGGCTCCTTTGTCAAGTATCAGCTGACTATAAGCATGTGATTTTATTCTGGATCTTCTATTCCATTGGTCTCCAGGTCTGTTTTTGTGCCAGTAGCAAGGTGTTTTTGTCATTAGTGTTCATGAATTTTTGTTTGTCATGGAAGATTTTAGTTTTACCATCAATTGTGAATGATAGCTTCACTTTGTACACCAGTTTGGGTTGGCAGTTGAATTTTACTGTTCATGATCCTCCTTGTATTTATAGTTCATGTGGAGAGTTCTGTGGTGATTCTGATATTCTGATCTTCTTTCCTTTATAATATAGCTCTTTTGATTTTGCTGCATTTAAAATGAATTCCTTGTTTTTTAAGTCCGTAGTTTTCACTATGATGTGTCTAGAAGTATTTCTTCTTGGATCCTGTCTACTAGGAGTTCTGTATGCCTCTGTTGTTGAATAGGTTTTCAGTGCCTTTAGTTTTGAATTCTTGTCCCTTATCTATCCTATGTGTAGATATGATCTTTTGGCCATATCTGCCAATTCTTGGATTTCTCTTTGGGCCATGCCTTTAAGTTTTTGTTCCAATTCCTCTGTTTTATCCTCAACTCCTGATAATCTATTTTCTACTTCACTTATTGTATTGCTTATTCTTTCAACTTGGTTTGCAACAGAGAAATTGAGCCTTTCATGCTGCCAAGCTTCCAAGCTCTTTGTTGAATTCAGTTCTTTTTTTTTTTTTTGGGTCCGGTCGTGGGGCCTGAACTCTGGGTCTGGGCGCTGTCCCTCCGGTCTTCAGTTCAAGGCTAGCACTCTACCACTTGAGCCACTTCCGGCTTTTTTCTTATGTGGTGCTGAGGAATCGAACCCAGGGCCTCATGCATGCAAGGCAAGCGCTCTACCACTGAGCCACCTTCCCAGCCCCTGAATTCAGTTCTTAGGGTGTTCATTTCATCTTTTAATGAGATGTGTAGTGTTTCTATTTTTCTCTTTTTTTAGCCTTTTGGGTGACGTGTAGATTCTTGGTCATTTTATCCTTGTGTTCTATTTGTATTTTGGACATCCCCTTTTATTTTGTTATTCTTACTTTAATGGTCCTTTTGTCCTCCATCTCTTCTTCACTCTCACTAGGGTCTTTCTCTGGATTGTTGGTGGCTTTTAAATTAGGTTTGTTGTCTTTATTGTTCATGAATTTTGAAATCTTTCATTGTGATTTATATATTTGGGTTCAGGGATTGTCTGGGTTATTCAGATTGTATCCTAAACTCAGTGGTGGTGGAGTGTGATTCACTGGGTAGATCTCTGTCAGACTTTGCATTTATCAACTTTCAGCTCAGGTGGTATCAACAGTGTAATGGATCCGAGCCAGTTGTTAGGTATTTGGTGTCCTGGCTTGGGTTTAGGCCCGTTGAGTGGCAGGTTCCTTTCATGTGGTGGGTGCACCACAGTCTAGTGTTCTGGCATGGATCTGTGTCTGGAGTAGGAAGATTCCTGCTAGTCCTAGTGGGAAGGTTGTCCTGGTCAGAGTTTTGGTCTGGCATCTCCTTGCAGAGAGGCCAGAAGTAGCATTCCAACACCTGGACCTTGTTTGAGCCCTGGGAGTTGGGGCAGATTCCCATCATGTATTAAGGGGAGTCGTCCCCACTTGTCCTGAACTAGTGTCTACTTCCTATGGGGTGGGGAGCAGCATTTGAACCTCTGGGATAGACATGAGCCTCGGAGGAAGGCAGGTTCCCACTTGAGTCCTGGACTGGTGCCCACTCAAGTGTCAGATTGGTGTCTGCTTCCCACAGGGTGGGGAGTTATATTCAGGCCTCTAAGCCATGTATGAGCCTTGGACAGGGGGATGGTTTCCCTAGGGCAGGGTGGGGAAATACTCCCCACTGGAATCCTGGATTGGCTCTGCTTCCCACAGCTGGGGAGCTGCCACATTCAGGCCTCTGGGACAGATGTGAGCCTCGGTAAGGGTGGTGTGGGGAGATTGTGAGCTGGTCAGTTTTTCTACCATCAGCTACAACTGTGGGAAATGCAGGGGCCCAATCAATGCTCAACTAATATTGGTCCCGGTGTCTGTTGGTAGTTGTAGTTTTGTGGCTTGGAGTTAAGGTTGCGTCCTGGGGGACTGCCACAGGAAGCAGAAAGGTCTCTGGTCTCTTTGCCCTCTTCAAGTATGGTGTCCCTTCTCTGGCAGGAAGGATGGGGTCCAGGCCAACCACTCTGGGTCACCACCTACCTATGCAAAGGAAAACCACCTGTCTAAGGAAAGGTTTCATGAGAAAAGATGACTTTTCCAAAGGTTGTTAATGGCAAGTGTGGATCGGACAAGTCCATTCTAGGTTTAGAAGATTCTATCAAGAACATGAGCTGTATATTACACTGCCTCCTCCCGATTTCTACTAGAGAGCCCCAGGATCTTAGGAAGTATATCCTTTGAAAACTTTAGTTCCCCACTTAACAATGTTATTCTCTGTACCTACAGAAAATCCAAGGACATAATCAACAAAACAACTTCCCACAGTAAAAAATTGATTGCTGATTCTGATGGCTTATCACAAGAACTCAGACATTTTAACCAAGAAGGTACAAAACTGGTTGAAGAGTCTTTGAAGCTCTGTGATACTCTCAACAGTGACCTGAAAATTGTATCTCAACAGTCTGAACAGAGATGTGAGTCTCTGAACATGAACATAGTTTCTTTTTCTGAACAGTGGATATCTTGCTTAAATAAAAGAAAAGAAGAACTTGAGAGCTTACTGGAGGTAATAACTATTCCAGGAACTTACTTTGTGATAGTTACTATAATCAGCAAATTAAATGTTCTTAAGGTATAATGAGTAACTTAATATTGATAAGCTGTGCATGGTCTTTTTTTTTTCTGCCTTGTTATGTGTCTTGATCTCAAAATTAATGTTTGTCCTATTTCTGTCCTGTATCTAGGTTTTTTTTTTTGCCAGTCCTGGGGCATTAACTCAGGGCCTGGGCACTGTCCCTGAGCTTCTTTTGCTCAAGGCTAGCACTCTGCCATTTAAGCCATAGCACCACTTCTGGTTTTTTTCTTTTCTTTTCTTTTCTTTTTTTTTGGCCAGTCATGGGGCCTGAACTCTAGGCCTGGATGTTGGCCTTCACCTCTTCAGCTCAAGGCTAATGCTCTACCACTCGAGCCATAGCGCCACTTCTGGCTTTTTCTGCTTATGTGGTGCTAAGGAATTGAACCCAGGGCTTCATGCATGCTAGGTAAGCACTTTACCACTAAGCCTCATTCCCAGCCCATAGCCTTGGTTTTTGACTTATAATTTCCCTGAGGAAATTGTGTTTTGACATTAATATCTTCCATTTATATTACTTTCTCCAGATTTTTTTTCTTTTTTTGGGGGGGTCAGGTCATGGGTCCTGAACTCTGGGCCTGGGCGCGGTCCCTCAGCTCTTCAGCTCAAGGCTAGCGCTCTACCACTTGAGCCACAGCGCCACTTCCGGCGTTTTTCTTTTTGCTTATGTGGTGCTGAGGAATCGAACCCAGGGCCTCTGGCATGCAAGGCAAGTGCTCTACCACTGAGCCACCTTCCCAGCCCCTCTCCAGATTTTTTAAAACTTTTTATTATAGTAAGTTTCAAGGTAAGGGAAAATGACAGATTCAGTGATATACTGGCAACTTTAATTTTTATTAGTAAAGCTTGTATCATTTGCAGGGTGTAAACCAGTGCTGTGAAGCTTCCAGGTCAGAGATGACTGAACTGTTACATGGACATAAAGCAGCCTTTGCCAGCCAGCATAATTTGTTTCTTGATCAGATAACTGCTGATGAAAAAAAATTGATGGCACAAAGTCTAGAACTTAATGAAACGGTAAAAGTTGGTCTGACCAAGCTTAACTGCTTTCTGGAACAGGATCTGAAACTGGATATCCCAACAGGTATTTTAAATTGGAAACAGAATTGATTTTTTAAGGTTGAATTCAACATATACAGTGTTAGGTGTTCCTTTTTTAAATTAGCTTATTTTAGTTTTGGGATGAGAGATTAATTATATTGTTTGGTGGTGTTCTTTATAACTAGGTTCTGCCACTGCCTAATAGGAATTTATCATCCTAATATATAGTCAACTTAAATATGGAAAAAATGGTACTCCCAAGATAGTGTTAGGTGGTATGTACTTCAAGGACTTGGATATCACAATACAGTGTAACTGGCTTTACTAGCAAAGGACGTAGTAGTGAATGCATATAATCCCTCTATGCAGGAGTCTGAGGCAGAAGGACTGAGCGTTTAAGCTCCCCTTGGATTATACAGTGAGACCCTATGTCTTGAAAAAGAAAAAAAAGGGATATTTTAAAACTGACCAACCACCTACCTAGTGTTATGTGAAAAGGGATGTGATTGAATAAATGCAGTTTGATGCAGAGTTCACCATATTGTAGATTTGTCATGGACTGCTAGTGAGTGGTAATCATCACTTTGAGAACTAGTAAGCACAGTGATCCATGAAAACCTTCATTGAGGTAACAGCTGTTTTACACAAGGTGATTCATTGGATTATTGGTTGGGTCGTGGTGATGGTTGCATACTTTGTAATTTCACTGAACACACCAGACTATATATTTAAAATGAGTGAATTTTGAGGTGCATAAGTCATACCTCAAAGCCTTTTGTATTTAATGAACAAATTAAGAACTAGAAATGTGCTTTAAGTGGTAGAGCAGCTCTGAGTGAGAAAGTCTTGAGAGAATGTGAGGCCCAGAGTTCAGTAGTGCAGCACTAGCACAAATAAAAAGAAGTAGAAGAAAGTATTTAAAAAATATGAAATTAAGAATGTAGCTGGATGTTGGTGGCTCATGCCTGTAATTCTAGCTACTCAGGAGGCTGAGATCTGAGGACTGCAGTTCAATGGCAGCCCAGGCAGAAAACCAGAAGTGGCACTGTGGCTCAAGTGGTAGTGGGCTCACCTTGAGCTGAAGAGCTCTAGGACAGCACCTAAGCCTAGAGTTCAAGCCCCAGGACAGACAGACAGACAGACAGACAGACACACACACACACACACACACACAGAGTATGTAAATATTTTAGTGAAAAATATTTTAGTGAAAAAGCTTTGTAAATCCTGACAGCATGAAGTTCTATATGCACTTTCCTGCCAGGGCTGGCTTTGAACTGTGATCCTGGATTCTCAGCCTCCTGAGCAACTAGAATTGTAGGTGTGAGCTACCGGCTCATTTGAAAACATCAGTTCTAGCATTTTTTAAAAAAAGAATCTTATTTAACTTCCAAACTTATTTTCTAATGTCGGCTGAAGGTACCACACCAGAGAGGAAAAATTATTTATATCCAATGACCCTAGTGAGAACTGAACCACGTGAACAACTCCTGGATCAGTTGGAAAAGAAACAGCCTCACCTGTTAAAGATGCTGAGCTCTTCAGAGAACCACGAAGGAACCAGTCAGGTAAAGTTTGAAGCATCGTAAGTTAGAACTGTCCCAGCAACTGCTTATGTGGTTGCTTTCATGTGCAGAATGTTACTCTGCCCTCTTACCCTATTTCTTATGATAGTTGTCTGACCCTTCAGCCTCTTTCCTTTAATCCTGTCAGTTTTTATATTACTCAATGTGTAGATAGGAACAGCTACTATTTAAATTGTTCCAGACACTGTGCTAAATCTACCTGTTGACTCCGTTCTTTCAGTAATCTTGAGGTATATACTAGTATTGGACCCTTCATATAGAGAAGGAAACTAAGAACCACAAAGATCTATCAGAACCTAAATTATCAAGCCTATAATTTGCTCTTTGCAGTTACTAGTAATTATAGGAAAGTTGGGAAATTAGAAAACAGAAAGTAAACTGAAAAATGATCCTGAGATATCATTGTAGAATAGGAACTTGTATTCTTTATTAGAAAACATAATAGGGGGATAGGAAGGTGGTTCAGTGGTAGAGTGCTTGCCTTGCATACATGAGGCCCTGGATTTGATTCCTCAGTACCACATAAGCAGAAAAAGCCAGAAGTGGTGCTGCGGCTTAAATGGTAGAGTGCTAGCCTTGAGCTGAATTGCTGAGGGACAGTGCCCAAACCCAGAGTTCAGGCCCCTCGACCAAAAACAAACAAACAAAAACAAACCATAATAGGAATTAGTTCTACTAGACTATTAGACTCTGCTAATTTGTTGAGATTTAACTTTTAGGTAATGTACATTGTATTGAGTCCAAAGAAGAAAACTGCTTTTCTTTTGTGATTATCTTATTTTAGGGCTTAGAGGCAGAAATGGCAGTCCTGGAGCAATGTACTAAAGAACCTTTAAGCGAAGAACCACCTGTACATTCTGTCCATACTAGTGTGGATTACTCTTCAAGTGGTGGAGTTCCATTTTTCCAGGTACCTGATTGTTTCAATTCACATAAAGGCACTGCTTTTCACTGGATGCAGTGGTTCATGCCTATAACCTCAGCATTAAGGAGGCAGGAAGATCAGGAGTTCAAAGCCAACCTAGGGTCCCTATCAAGTCATTTTTTTGTGCAGCTAGGACTACAGGCACGAGCCACTGGCACCTGGCTAAGACACTGTTGTTGTTGTTGTTGTTTAAAGGCATTATTTTGGTGTGGAACAGTCATTCCTTTGGGATGGCTTTTCTGTATATGTAAGCCCATCCTGGGACCAAGCTCTGTTTAGCCCTGAGCTTCTTTTGCCCAAGGCTGGCCCTCAACCACTTGAGCCTTCACTCCTGGCTTTTTTTGGTAGTTAATTGGAGATAAAGAGTATCATGTAGTTTCTGCCTGGGCTGATTTTAAACTGTGGTCCTCACTGGCTCTCAGCCTCCTGAGTAGCTAGGATTACAGGCATGAGCCACCAATACCTGGCTAGCTTCTTAACGTTTATGAATTAAACTGGGTGTGTTGTGTGTGTATGTGTGTGTGTGTGTTACTGGAGCTTGAATTCAGGGCCTTATGGCCTTGCTTAGCTTTTTCCACTCAAGATTGATGATCTACCACTTGAGCCATACATCCATGTCAAACTTTTTGCTATTAAGTGGAGATATGAGCTTTTTGGATTTGTCTGCCTGGGCTTTTTTCTTCGACATGGGATCCTCAGATCTCAGTCTCCTAAACGGCTAGAATTGCAGGTGTGGGCCATCTGTGTCTGGTTGATTTGAATTATTTACCTATGTAATAATGGTAAGGAAAATATTTTCCAGGATAAAGGTAAATTTTTTCCTTGATCTATATCCTTGGCTGGTAATCTTTAGCTGTTCTGCTTCTGATAGATAATGAGAGCAGCCATTGCTCTCTTTTTCCTCTTAACCTGGAAGTCCTGGTGCCATCTCTCAGCCCATCAGAGTTTGAAGGCTAAGGGGTTTAAAGACTGAGAACTGAAAGCCTCTTAGGTTATATTAGTGATTTCTTCTGCCTGAGGCGCTTAAGGATTCTCCTGTTTCTTGAGCTCCTTGCTTCTCTAATCTTGTTCAAATAAATTCTGTGATCTCTTCCCTCCCTTTTTTTGGAGGGGGTACTACAAACTGCCTAGCATCTTCCCATTTACTCTGAAGATGCATGCATAGAAAATTAAGATTTTCCTTATGTAAGATATTGATATCTGCATTTTACAGCTGAAATGCTACTTCTGAAGTGTGTGCATTCCCACCCCCTCACCTACTTCAACTTCTAGTTCCTGCCCCTGCTTCCTCCACCCCACCTTTTTTGTCCAGACTGGCCTTGACCCTGAAATCTTCCTGCTTTGGCTTTCTGAGTTTGTGGGGTTCCAGATGTGTGTTACCTTGCCCAGCCACCTTGATCATTATTGATCCTGGAAGTCCATACAGTATTGCTTAAAGGATTTGGAGTTGAGTTATTGTGAAGTACAGAAATGATCTTTTGTCTGATAGCAGTCAAGCATGAGGAATTTGATGGGTTTCAAACTCAGGTGGTCTAGGGAGTTTCTATGGACTTAAAGCTTTTTTCCCCCTGGATTCTGGATATGGAAACCAGGGCCCTGTGTAAGTAAGTGCTCAGCTATTGAGCTGTAGCATGAGACACAACCTGCCCACTGACTAATCAGAACTTTCTTCTGTTGAAAGTACCATTTTCCTTTGAAAAGCCAGTTTTCTCCCTGGTCAAGTGCCTCAGCTTGAGTGGATGACTTCATCCCTCAACAGGAGAAAGGGGAAGTGAGTTACCACCCACATAATCAGTTTATTCCATTAGCCACAGTGGCCAATCACTGAGATTTTACAGTGGAACTTTTGTCACAGTTATTAAGCAACATTTTTTTTTTTTCCAGTCAGGGCTGATAAGCTAGTAAGGTATAACTCTAGAGCTATCCCCAGACAGCTTTGTACTCTAAAGTAGGTTTATGTGTCTTAGCATTGATGAACAGTGTGCAGGGAATGGTAACAGTATTTTACAGTTCTTTATGGGTAAACAGGAAGATTGTAGTGAAGTATAGTTCCCAAATATGAAATGTAAAGCACACTTTAAAAATAACACATCAAAGTGTTTTAAGGTATCCAAGGTATCAGCTTTTCTTGCTTGAAATAGAATTCCTGATCTGCTTTCCTAGCAGGGTTTCTAGCAGCAGCACAGATGACATTTTAAAGTGGATAACTGCTGTGACTTTTCTGGTGACTCTGATGGTTAGTAGCTTCCTGGCTTCTTGTAGAAGCCACTAAGCACTCTCAAAATGTCACTGGTGGAAGAAGTCACCCCCTGTTAGAAAACCACTTTACCCTACTCCTTCCTTACTGCTAAAATAAAGGAGGCATTCACAGGTACCTTCCAAAAGACTTGCTGGCCCTAATGTGTGCTAAAGCTTTTCTGAAGTTTTTTACATTTAAGCTTTTTTGCCTATAATCCAGAAAACTTTGAAAATACAGTATAGGAACTAGGTGCCAGTGGTTCATGCTAGCCTAATCCTATTCAGGAGACAGATCTGAGGATCATGGTTTGAAGCCAACCTGGGCAGCAAGGTCCATGAGACTCTGATCTCCAGTTAACCAACAAAAAGCTGGAAGTGGAGCTATGGCTTAACTGTTAGAGCTCTATCTTTGAGTGAAAAACTAAAAGCTCCAGAATGTCTCCCCTCTATCCCCCCAACCCCCCCGAAAAGGGAAGGAACAAATGAAGCTGGGTGCTGGTAGCTCACACCTGTAGTCTTAGCTACTCAGGAGGCTAAGATCTGAAGATCGTGGTTTGAACCCAGCCCAGGCAAAAAAGAGTCTCCTGTGAGACTCTTATCTCCAATTCACCACTCAAAAACTGGAAGTGTCGCTATGACTCAAGTGGTAGTGCTGCTAGCCTTGAGTTCAAGCCCCACAACCAACAACAACAAAAAGGAACAAATGAAAGCAAGCAAGAAAATATAGTATAGGTAATGTGTACTGAATGATATATATCTTTTTACTTTTTAAGTAGTAGTTGTACAAAGGAGTTGCCATTTAACAAAGCAGTTTGTGAATACAATGAATCTTGATCAGTGTCACCCCTTTCAACATTCTTAGCCATCCCTTCCCTACCCACTTCTTCCTGAACTCTTCTTAATTTTATAGAATACACAGTTCTTGACTGCAATTCCTCCTCTTCATTTGTCTCCCCCTCTCCCCTTTCAAGTCCTCTTTCTGGTATTTATTTTGTTGAACTTTGACTTTGCCTTTCTAAGGAATTACACTATTTGAGTTCTCCCTTGAAACTACCATATTTCAGTTAATACATCTGTATACACTTGCATACCACCCAATGTATTTACTTACAGGAAGCTAATTCTTGCTTCCACATAATAGGGAAAACATGCATCCCTGTCTCTCTAGGCCTGACTTAAGTCTACTTAACGTAATATCGGGTCTTTCCATTTCTATACAAATAGTACAATAACTTTTTTTTCTAATGGATGAGTATTGAATGTTATATTGATTTAATTTCTCTTTTTAAATCCACAGCATAAAAAAACACATGGAAAAGACAAAGAAAACAGAGGTGTTAACCCAGTGGAGAGGTCTAAACTGGAAGAAACTGCAGAGCACCCTGTTACAAAAAGCAGATTACCACTGCGAGCCCAGATAAACTTCACTTAACACGAGGGTTAGCAGTATGAAGAGAAATAAAACCGGAAATGCCAGAGCTGAAACCTTGTGTACAGATGAAAAACGAATCATATATATCTAGGCAGTGTAACAAAAATAGTTAAATTTAGTATCTACCCATTTTTTTGTCCTTCCTGTATGTATTAAGTTGAATTCCATCTGGATTTTTGCATTGAGTAATATGTTTCTACCTTTTCATATAAAGTAGCCCTTAATAGCAAATGAAAAGCTTTGTTTTTTTTTAATTTTTTTTTTTATTAAATATTGAGTATATAGGAACCAGATTGTTCTAGGCTGGGACTTGCATATGTAAATATCACCAGCACAGCCTTGGAAAACCCCATTTCTTCATTCTCTGCTGCGTCTTAGTTAAGTATATTTTCTTTACTTTTCTATTTTTGCCTTCTCGCTGTTTTCTTTCTGTCTTTTTGTTTCATCCAACAATTTGCAGGGCTACAAGAAAATGTCTTTCTTATTATGAGAAGGCCAAGATTTAACTAGAAGTCTTAAAACATGGTTCATGCAGTTACCTCTAAAATTACTGTTAGTACTAAAAGTCCTGGAAGTAGCCCTCTTGAGCATTTTTGTTCACCCCAGATATGAAAGCATTTCATTCCTTTGTGAAGCCTAACACATTAGCTTCTCAGAGTTCACCAACACCCAATACCCATCTTCCATGGAATACAGACTGTGGTTATGGAAGGTCTGCCTACATCTCTGTTTCATGGCTTTGTGGCCTCACTCTAAAGCTTCTGTCTTTTGATATGGTCATAATGACTTAAGGGCTTTTATTGGATATCAATTATGACTATAATTTATATTCCTTTGCTTACCTGATAAAACTTTGGTTTTTTTGTATATAATAAAATGTGTTTATGTACATATTTCTCTGCTGGAATCTTAACCCTTAAAAGGGCCCCGATACTTTGATCTGGCAACCATGTTTCTGGATGTTGTTGAGATATTTAATATCAAGAACCAGAACACCTAAAAGAAATAGAGCAGCCGGGCACCAGTGGTGTTAGTCCTCGCCACTCAGGAGTCTGAGATCAAAGACAGCCTGGGCAGGAAAGTCCAGGAGACTTTTTTTTTAACCTCCAGTAATCTACTCAAGAAAGTCTGAAGTGGTGCTGTGGCTCAAGGGGTAGAGTGTTAGCCTTGAGCAAAAGAAGATCAGGGACAGCACCCAGGTCCAGAGTTCAAGCCCCAGGACTGCAAAAAAAAAAAGATCCAAAGAATAAATGTTGCACCTATTGTTTAAAATGAGAGGTAGGACACGTGTGTGTGCGTGTGTGTGTGTGTGTGTGTGTGTGTGTGTGTTGCTGGTCATGAGGCCTGAACTCTGGGCCTGGGTGCTGTCCCTCAGCTCTTCAGCTCAAAGCTAGCATCCTACTACTTGAGCCAGAGAGCCACTTTATTGCTTTTTCTACTTATGTTGTGCTGAGGAATCAAACCCAGGGCCTCATGCATGCAAGGCAAGTGCTCTACCACTGAGCCACCTTCCCAGTCCCAGCACTTTTTTGCTTGTGAGACACAACATCTTGCTTTGTGGACCAGATTGTCCTCAAATTCACAGCCTAGCTCAGCCTTGCCAGTGTCAGAATTGCAGGCATTCACCACCAATATTTGGCAAAAATGTTATTTTTGAGAAACTAAATTTACATGTAGAAAAATTGTTTTAATGAAAACAATGGATGTAATTTTGTGTGTGTATGCCAGTTCTGGGGCTTGAACTCAGGGCTTGGGTGCTGTCCTTGGGTTTGTTTTTAACTGTATTTTTTTGTGTGTCTTTTTCTTTCTTGGTACTGGGGATTGAATACAGGATGTTGTACTTGCTAGACAAGTGCTTTGCCACTCAATTACATTCCAGCCCTGTCCCTGAGCTTTTATTCTCAAGACTAGTCTTCTATCACTTGAGCCACATCTCCACTCTGGCTTTTGGGGTAGTTGATTGGAGATAAAAGAGTCTCATTGGCTTTCTTGCCTAGGCTGAATATGAACTGCAGTTCTAGCACCTGACTAATTAATAGACATAATTTTTTTTCTTTTTCTTCCTTTTTTTCCTGGTCAGTTTTGGGGCTTGAACTTGGTCTATGTGCTGTCCCTGAGCTCTTTTGCTCAAGACTAGCATTTTACCTCTTTGAGCCACAGTGACACTTTTAGTTTTTTGGTAGGTAAGGGTCTCATGGACTTTCTTGCCTGGGTTGGCTTTGAACTGCAATGTTCAGACCTCAACCTCCTGAGTAGCTAGGATTAGAGATGTGAGCCACCAGTGCCCAGCAATGGACATAATTTTCTATGTATGCATGTCAACATAAGCTATATATGATAACTAATCATGCTTCTTGGTAAGTCCATAATTAATGTATTTGGGTTCTTCACTATAACTTGCTTGGTCTATAATTCCTTACCTGGCAACGATATTTATAGAGTTAAGCAAGTTGCATCAAAACTTCTAAAATAAACTTATACTTGAGTACTTCTCAATGAGAAAGGCCCTCCTAGCTGGGTGCTGGTGGCTCATGCCTATAATTGTAGCTACTTATAGGAGGCTGAGGTCCGATGATCATGGTTCAAAACCAGCCCTAGAAGGAAAGTCCATGAAACTCTTATCTCCAATTAACCACCAGAAAACTGGAAGTAGCGCTGTGGCTCAAGTGGTAGAGAGCTCTCCTTGAGCTGAAGAGCTCAGGGACAGTACCCAGGCCCAGAGTTCAAGCCCCATGACTGATCAAAAAAAAAAAAAAGAAAGGCCCTGGTAGACATGCCAGCCTCCAGTTGTACTCTAAGGAGCTGCACCTTAGGTCCAGTGAGTATGATCCATAAAAAACACCCACACACAACCTCAAGTACAGCTTAAATAATCTCACTCCTTAACTATTGTAAAGCTGTTGGGAATGCTAACACTAATATAACCATGTGACAAGCACAAATAAGCCTCCAGAAATTTTAACATTCAGAGTCATAAATCAGCTCTATAAACTTTCATATGCAATATCAGGCACTCAGCCAAGAGTTGGTATTCGTTAACAAAAAAAAAAAGATGTGGTAAAAAGAGGATGATGATGATGAATTGAATTTGAGCATTACAGGCCTGGCCTACATAGTGAAATCAGAACTTGTTCCTTCTTAAAGACATTGAAAGATTAGTTAAAAAAAAAATACCCAGAAACAACATTCAAACTCTGGAAACAGTCAAAAGTTTATAGTCAACAAGCACATGCCTAATTAAGGAAAAGACAGCCCAAGCTGGCACTAGCCATGTCTATAATCCTAGCTATTCAGGAGGCTGACATGTCAGGATCTCAGTTGAAGCCAGTCATGACAGACAAATCCATGGAGGATATTCAAAGTGCTGATATTCAATCTCTGACAAGAATTCTATATCCAACAAAACTTTCCTTTTTAGTGAAGGAGAATCTAAATCACTTCAAGATAAAACAGAATTTAGCATCAGCATGCAGGGGCTATTAGTCCATCAGACCATCGGACCAAAATGAAGAAACACTAGAGAATAACTCTACATGAAGAAATAGAGCATCGGTACTGGTAACTAAATAGGTAAATATAAGACTAAACATTTTTTGCTTAGTGTTTCTTTTTCCTCATACATGATTTAAAAAAAAAAAAAAACACATCAGGGGCTGGGAAGGTGGTTCAGTGGTAGAGTGCTTGTCTTGCATGCATGAGGCCCTGGGTTCGATTCCTCAGCACCAATTAAGCAGAAAAAGCTGGAAGTTGTGCTTTGGCTCAAGTGGTAGGGCGCTAGCCTTGAGCAGAAGAGCTGAGGGACAGTGCTCAGGCCCCATGACCAACCCCCCAAAAATATAAATAAAAAAAACTACATCAAACTACAATTTTATAAGTCTGTGCTGATGGTCATACTGTATGAATATGTAATTTGTATCCAATACCATAGTGAAGGGAAGGCAGCTATATATGCTATTAATCTGAAATAGATGGTTAACTGAAGTGACTATAATCCTCCAAACACAAAAGGGAGTGATTAAAAACTACTGCAAGAGAAAATGACAAAGTGGTAAAAAATATTTCATAGAAACTAGCCATAATAGAAGACAGGGGAAAAAAAGATATAAGACATAGAAAACAATCAGATAGCAGGATCCTTTTCTAATGGTAATTATATTAAATAGAACAGAACAATCCAGTCAAGAGTCAGATTGGCAGAATCTTAAAACATGATCCACTGGGTGCTGGTGATTCTTGCCTGTTATCCTAGCTACTCAGATCAAAAGCCAGCATGGGCAGACATGTTCAAGAGACTCATCTCCAAGTAACTACCAGAAAGCTGGCATCAAAGGAGGAGGGGAAAACCCATGGTCTAACTATATGGTGTTTTAAATTCAACAACAGAAAGAAAAAAAAAGGATTGTGAAGGAGTCCTATAGTGGTTATTTTAATATCTTCCCAAATAGGCTTTAAGACAAAACTTGTTACTAGATACAAAGGGTCTTTTACCTGGGACTGGTCTTGGACTCCTGGACTCAAGTGATCCTTCTGCCTCAGCCTCCTGAGTGGTAAGATTACAGAATGCACTACTGTGCTGGGCTCATTTTGTTTTCAGAAATAAAAAGACTTTGTCATCACCAAATTCATTACAGGAAGTATTGTTTTTTAAGTAAGTGATGCCAAATGACATCTCAGAGATGTAGGAAAGAATAATATAAATGCACTAAAAAAATTACTATAAGTGACAATGTTTTGTAGAGTCCAAACTGTTAGGAAATTAAAATCCTGAAGCATGAGCATGAAGGGGGGAGGAGGAAACTTGATTGTCTGAGGAGGCAGAAAGGTTCTGTTTTATATTAGATTTTGGCAAGTAAAACATACCAAAATTTTAGGCAAAATATTAGCAAAATTTTAATTATTGTGGGGAACCATTAAAAGGATAGTTAAAAAATCTAAAATAAGTTAATGCACAGAGGTAATAGTTATTTAAATCAAAAACCAGAAAAAGAAAAGAGGAACATAGAACAGGTGGTCCAAATAACAATAAGAGGGTA